AGGGGGCCAAGCTATTTTCCAAGGCACCCAAAGGCCAGACAAGGAACAATGGATGGAAACAGAACAAGGAGAGATTCAACCTGGAAATAAGGAGAAATTTTCTGACAGTGAGAACAATCAACCAATGGAACAGAAGTTGCCTTCGGAAGTTGTGGGAGCTTCATCACTGGAGGCTTTCAAGAGACTGGACTGACATCTGTCAGAAATGGTGTAGAGTCTCCTGCTTGGGCAGAGCGTTAGACTAGATGACCTACAAGGTCCCTTCCAACTCTGTTAATCTGTTAAAGCAAAATTACCGAGCACAAAACTGTCCTTCAACTATTCTTCTTCCATTATGAAGTTCCTATGGGAATGGAGATTTTGCAGTCTCCTTCCCCCAGGAGTGCAGTGGGAATGGGGATTTTGCAGTATCCTTCCCCTGGAGTGGGGTGGGAATGGAGATTTTGCAATATTCTTCCCCCAGGAGTGCGGTGGGAATGGGGATTTTGCAGTATCCTTCCCCTGCCACGCCCACCAAGCCACGCCCACCAAGCCACACCCACAGAACCGGTAGTAAAAAAATTTGGATTTCACCACTGCTAGAACCCACCCTCAGATGCGGTTCTGGTATCCGTGGCTGAGCATGTTCCCAGAGCGAAAGGCATCGTGCCCTCTCCAAACGGAGTTAGCAATTTAGCACCATGGGAATCGCAGGAAGTTTCACAACCCTTGGCATCCATCCGCCTTTGCGAAGAGCTTTTCCTCTCCCTCCCCTTCGCGCTCTCCTCGGCCTGCTTGGCTGGAAGAGCAGAGGGACTCCGCCAGCTTCTCGCAGTAATTACAGGGTGTTAGTTTTGCCTCGCTGCAGAAGATAACAACTCCCCCACACATCAGGGGAACATGATTAGGGCTTGCAAATACCAAGAGCATCGGATGAATCAAGTCGACGGTACTAGATTTGGGGCCCACGGGGGTGGAAATGACAGAAGGAGGGTGGAATTCTGGAGAAAGGGCCCCCTTTAACTGAGTAAGCTACGCCCTCTTCTTCTGCCCTAGATATGGACTCTAGAGTAGATGATAATAAAATGCCAGTATTTAACGTCATTTGGTAGGATAGGATAGGGTAGGATAGGATAGGATAGGATAGGATAGGATAGGATAGGATAGGATAGGGAATGGAATGGAATGGAATGGAATGGAATGGAATGGAATGGAATAGAATAGAATAGGAAAGGGGATAGGATAGGATAGGATGGGATGGGATGGGATGGGATGGGATGGGATGGGATGGGATGGGATAGGATAGGATAGGATGCGATGGGAATGGGAATAGGAATAGGAATAGGAATAGGGTAGAGTAGAGTAGAGTAGAGTAGAGTAGAGTAGAGTAGAGTAGAGTAGAGTAGAATAGAATAGAATAGAATAGAATAGATAGAATAGAATAGAATAGAATAGAATAGAATAGAATAGAATAGAATAACAGAGTTGGAAGGGACCTTGGAGGTCTTCTAGTCCAACCCCTGCTTAGGCAGGAAACCCTACACCACTTCAGACAAATGGTTATCCAACATCTTCTTAAAAACTTCCAGTGTTGGAGCATTCACAACTTCTGGAGGCAAGTTGTTCCACTCATTAATTGTTCTAACAGTCAGGAAATTTCGCCTTAAGTTCTAGGTTGCTTCTCTCCTTTATTAGTTTCCACCCGTTGCTTCTTGTCCTACCCTCAGGTACTTTGGAGAATAGCTTGACTCCCTCTTCTTTGTGGCAGCCCCTGAGATATTGGAACACTGCTATCATGTCTCCCCTGGTCCTTCTTTTCATTACACGAGACATACCTAGTTCTTGCAACCGTTCATGTTTTATTCTCCATTCTCCTAATCATCTTTGTTGCTCTTCTCTGCACTCTTTCTAGAGTTTCCACATCTTTTTTACATCGTGGCGACCAAAACTGGATGCAGTATTCAAAGTGTGGCCTCACCAAAGTATTATAAAGGTGGTATTATAAAGTAGGGAAGCCATGAAAAATGTTTTGGTGCCAGTCCACAGACCAGAGGTTGTGAACCCCTGAACTAGACACGAGTGAGATGCCGTAAAGTCTGTGAAATTTCTCCCAAAGAGCTAACTGTAATTGCAAAGGGCTCAATGAACTGAGAGCTGTAGAAGGTTCTGTGCAGTCTAATTTAAGCTCAGCAGGGTTTTTCTCTCTTTACTTCTAAGGGGGGGTAGATAAATCTACTTATTTGCTGCTCCAGATCTCTCTCTCACGGCAGGGGAGCCCAAGCAGTGACATCAACTTCACAGTCTCTCATCAAGCTGAAGAACTTTTACCCAGGAAAGTGATACGTTTTCATCACCATTTAATAACTTGGGCGATACAAGTAGGAGTCCTTGACTAAGCAACCATTCATCTAGCGAGCAAAGTTAAAACGGCACGGAAAAAAGAGAAGACGTATGACTGTTTTTTCACAATTAAAAGAGCAGTGATGGCGCAGTGGTTAGCATGCAGCATTGCAGGCAAATTCTGCCCACTGCCAGCAGTTCGATTCTGACCAGCTCAAGGTTGACTCAGCCTTCCATCCTTCCGAGGTCCAAGTCAAGCTAAATGCTTCATACAGAGTTAAGTATCTGGAAAGTTTGAGTTACTGCTCAGCCCACCTCCCTCTTCAACCTGTCAGCTCCTGTTGAAAGAGTAATTCAGTATTTATTGCTACATCTACCCACAGAAATTCACGGGCAACTTTTACTGAATCAAATATTCTCCTTCTGTCTTCATTCATGAGGATGCCCAAGCATCTACCCTCCCTGCCTGTCAAGAGGCCTCTAAGGAGACTTGACGATCTGCAAAGATTAGCGCAGAAAGGTGGTATTCGGGAGGCAAGTCCAAGCAGGCTGGGGAACAGAAAGGGCCCACGTGATTATGACTTTGCTGTGTGCCACCCATTCGAGCATGCCCGAACATCTTCAGATGGCTGTGACATCAGGGTGGGAGATGTTCTCAAAGGAAATAGCTAGCAGGAATCCTTTGTCTGGGAAAGAGATTAAACCGTCACTCCTGCCAGATGACACCATCCGTGGGTACTCTGTAAGCTCTTGCTAGATTCCTTGCTCAATCTGTATCAGGCGTGAAGAATCAAGAATCACGTGTTAAGATTTTTGGGCTCAATTGTGGCCATTGGAGGTTGAAGGTTACCTGTATTCTTACCAACCCTAATGTGGGTTGATTGGTCCTAGCAAATGGATTGGCTCCAAAGCACCAGAAAGCAAGACAAGAGACAACGGATGGAAACTAATCAAGGAGAGAAGCAACCTGGAATTAAGGAGAAACTTCCTAACAGCGAGGACAATTAACCAGTGGAACGGCTTGCCGTCAAAGGTTGTGGGTGCTTCATCACTGGAGGGGATTCGAACCGCTGAACTGCCGACCTTTCGATCGACAAGCTCAGCATCTTAGCCACCGCATCCCTTAACAAACGCCTCGAGCCAAGCTTCAAAAGAAATCCAGTTATTTATTAGGAGCTTCATGTCGGCACATTCCCAAATGACGCCAACTCTGACCCCACGTAATTTACAGTCCCAATCATGACCCTGTTTCCCCCCCTCTCCCCAGAGTGTGTCATCAATCACATTCGCCAACGGAGCAATTTTGCGGGTTGTAGAGATCACTCCCCTCTGGGGCACTGTGGGTAACCCTGGGAGACAGCCTTGAGAAAGATATGTCTGGAATGTGCTCCTGTCTTTGGCTGCCGTACTGCTTCGTCGGTTTCCCATCCCCCTTGCCTATGGCAACTTGAGAGAAGGCCAGGGATGCTTTGCGAGTTGACAGTCGTAGCCGAAAACAGAGCTCCGCAACCCGTTTTCGCTGGCAGAGCACTCGGGCCACGAGTGATGTTGAGCTGGCCATGCCCCCCCCTGGCCCCCTAAGGTCAAACACAACCCTGATGCGGCCCTCAATGAAATTGAGTTTGACACCCGTGGGTTAGATGAACAGCCTGTTGATTGAGCAATGCATCATCTTACGTAAGGGGATGGGGGGAACCCGTTAACCCATGAGAACAAGAAGCCGGAACAAGACAGAGCTCATGGACACAATGTGAGAATAATGAGGTGGAAGGAAGAACCAAAGGCAAAGCTTTTTGTTGTTGTTTTGTGCTGCTGTTGTTGCTGGCGCCTGGGGAAATTATGGCTGTGTTCCTGAAAAGGCTTTTATCTCTTGGAATGATTTGAATTTATGGTGCTGAGCACGGAGGGCTCATGGGTACGTTCTGAGGATGGAGAAGCAAGACCGAGAGGAAGAGGGGCAAAATGAGCAATTTCTTTTAATGTGCCAACAACTGAAATGCAAATCTAGGGCCTTTTAAGATAAATGACACGGGAAGAAGTGAAGGAGCACAACGAGGAGGAGCGAAGAGAGTTTAAGTCAAAACGACAACATCGAACGCTCCCTGGGTTAAAACAGAACGATTTCTCTCCCTGCCACTAACACCATACCTGGCAATGAAACCAACGGGCTTCCAGTGATATGAATGGGAGTCTTGCAACCACGGGTGGGCTTCAAAAATTTTAGCAACGGGTTCTCTGCCCGGTTGCTGAGTGGGCGTGGCCATGGCCTAGTCGGCCTCCTGCACCATGGTGGGTGGGTGGAGGCTGATTTTGCCCTCCCCAGGCTCCGGAGGCTTTTCTCGAGCCTTCAGGAGGGCGAAAATGGCCTCCCCTGGGCTTCAGAGGCCCTCCGGAAGCCGGAAATGGGTCCGTTTCCGGCCTTTTGGAGGCCCAATTTTTGCCCTCCCTGAGCCTCCACACGGGCCCTGCACTTACCTGGCATCCAAAATGGGCTGCGTGGAGACTTCTGGGAGGGGCAGGGCGGGGCCAGCCAGGAGTGGGATTTGGGGGTTGTTGTTGTTGTTGTTGTTGTTGTTGTTGTTATTATTATTATTATTATTATTATTATTATTATTACATGTATTTATATGCCGCCATTCTCCCGAAGGACTCAGGGCGGTGAACACAAGTTAAGAAACAAGTACAATAAAATCATAATTTAATCCAAATAATTAATTAGTAGTAAATAATAAAGCCCGGAATCAGTTCACCAAACCACACAGAATCTTCACTAGAGGATTGCCCAAACCTAGGTGAACCCGGAGCAGCCCACCCCTGCTTGCAACCACAGGCCATCAGTCGCTTTGCCAGACGGGCAGCTATATCCATGGAATAAAATAAATGAAATACAAATCATGAAGTCCAACTGACAAAATATCAGCCGGTTTTCTTTTAAAAGGAGCGAGGCATTTTTGTCTAGCATCAGGACAACAACAACAAAAGCCACAACATGGTGAGAAGGGGAGATTTAAGGGACTCCAAATGTCTCTCCATTCCGAGACCTGAGCTCTCCTTCTCACCCCAGCTCCTGCCAACCTAGCAGTTCGAAAGCATGCACATGCCAGTAGATAGATCTTTATACTGTAACTGCTACTCTAATAGCAAATCCTGCATTATTGCATTACATTCTTGATTAAATTATCTTTCCATTAATATATAATTTTATGGTACTACTCCCCCCAAAAAGTGGTGTTATTAGCTAGAAAATATACTTTTCCCAAAAGATTTTCAAAATTTTGGCCACTACTGTAGATGGGATATCTATCACAGCTACATCATGCCTTTCTTGTATCACCTTCAATGCAGTGAAAATGACTATTGCCTTCCTGACCAGCTAAACAAATTAAACCAGTGGTGAAATTCAAATTTTATTACTAGATTCTGTGGGTGTGGCTTTGTGGGCGTGGCAGGGGAAGGATACTGCAAAATCTCCATTTCCACCCCACTCTGGGACCAGCTAGAGAGGTATTTGCCGGTTCTCCGAACTACTCAAAATTTCCGCTACTGGTTCTCCAGAATCTGTCAGAACCTGTTGGATTTCACCCCTGAACTAAACTACTTGAAAAAAATGTCAAGATGGACTGAGGAAGGTTATCTTCAGGGCCCAGTGAGGTTCTTTCAAATAACTCTGCACCTTGTTATTATGACATTAAAATAACCGAACCTGTTTTTTATATCTTAAATTAAGCTTTATAGCTGTCTACAGATCTCTTGTTGGGTTCTCCACCACTTGTATTTGTGAGCTCTTATACACTTAAATGAAGACATTCTTTGCGTCTGGAGAAACAACTGATTAAGCCTTTGGTTAGGCGTAGCTTCAGCTGGAACTCTCTTTCCTCAGCTTCTCCAAAACGTCCTCTGGAGTCAGCGGGGCCAAAATTTTCACAATTTTTTCTCGAGATTTACTCCCCTGTTTTGAAAACACAAGCAAGAGACGTTTTAGGGGTTCCGAAATGGATTCTCTCCTCATTTGACGTGCAGGGGAAGGCTCAAGAACCCAAGTTGAATTACGCAAAGGACAGAAGAATAGTGTACCTTCTCCAACACCACATCGTTCTTCTTGACTTCGAGGATTTTAGAGAGGTAGCGACAGAGCTCCGCGTTGGCTTCCCCTTCGGATGGAGGGGCTGCGATGGCCACGCTTACCGCCTCGGTAGTCAGATCTGCAACAAGTATTTTAGGATGTAGCCGTCGCTACTGTTAAACTCCTGCCCTAAAATGCCTCTTTGGAATCTCTCACCTGTATGTAACGTCAACATTAGTTTAGAGATTTATAGACATAGCTGTGGAATATAGCCTAGCTGAAGCTCTTCTTAACCCATGCTTGTTCTGACCCAGCTCCACAAACACGACAAACCCTCTGAATTTAACTCAAAGATTCCTTTATTAGGAGCGCCGGCAGGTCCAGCAACAAATTTCTCTCTCTCACTGCAGGCTAACAAGTCTGTCCAGCAAGGAGATGAATAGCTGTCTGCCACACCTATTCATCTCCGCCCCCCTGTCTTTTATCCCCAGAGCTAGGGTGGGGCCTCGCTAGCAGCGGTGGCTCTTCCTTCCCCAGGATCGGCCCATAGATTTCCACTGCTCTCCTCTCCTCTGCGTATCTGTGCATCAGACACTGGCCCCAACTTTTACTCCTCTTCCTCATCAGCCACCTCCAGACCTGGGAGCTGTTGACTCTCCATCTGAGGGCTGACGGACGGTCCAGGCTCTGCCTCTGTCTCTCTCTCTCTTCCACTCCCTCTTCTCCCTCAGAGCTCTCAAGTTGCCTTGATGCTGACAGGTCACAACAATGCTCTTAAATGCTTCCCATAAATAAAGACCAACATCACCACTTCAAGTGTTTCTATTACGCTAATGCCATTCTATTATTCTAAAACCTCTTCTGTAGCTATTTACGCAATAAGCAAAGGCCTTGACACTTTCCCAAACTGTTTGGATTCATTCAGACAACCCCCATTCCAGTGGTGAAATTCAAATTTTTTTTACTACCGGTTCTGTGGGCGTGGTGTGGCTTGGTAGGTGTGGCAGGGGAAGGCTACTGCAAAATCTCCATTCCCACCCCACTCCAGGGGAAGAATACTGCAAAATCCCCATTCCCTCCACACTCCTGGGGAAGGATATTGCAAAATCCCCATTCCCAACCCACTCTGAGGCCAGCCAGAGGGGGTATTTGCCAGTTCTCCGAACTACTCAAAATTTCCGCTACTGGTTCTCCAGAACCTGTCAGAACCTGCTGAATTTCACCCCTGCCCCATTCTCAAATCATTTCTCTGAGGAAATCTTGCCGGGGCACAGGGCAAGACCTCTACCCAAAAACCCTGTCAATGTTGCATATGAACTTATGCTCTAACTTACCCGTTACAGCATTTTGTTTAGCTCCTGGTTTGGCATGAACAGAAATAACAATGGAACCATTTTTATCCCTCGTCACTGGAACTGGAGGAACAGATGGCTTTACCAAGTCCTTGGTCTGTGCTTTCCCCTTACATCAAAACACAAAATGAGTCCTTGACAGTGAGATGGGCAGCATATAAATTTAATTAATAAACAACCATCTTCCCCACCCAACATCCCTCCCTCTCTCTCTTTTATTTGCTGCGATGGCTGTTTGATCATGGAGAAAATCAACATATAATAATTTTAATAATAGTAATAATAGTAATAATTTTAATTAGCAATTTTATGATGTTTGTGTGTCTATATTTTTCTTGACTGTACACCGCCTTGAGTCCTACGGGAGAAAGGCGGTATAGAAATATAATAAATAAATAAATAAATAAACATATGGGGTGGCTTGGAGTTGAAAATGATGTGATGGCACGTAACTACGGTGACCCTATTTTCTTGGAAAAAGGCATTTGGGCAAACCTGAAAGGGCAAACTTGAAAGAGGAGCAAAACTGAAAAAGATGCTATAGAGCAGTGTTTCCCAAACTTGACCCTTTGAAGATGTATGGACTTCAACTCCCAGAATTCCTCAACCAGACATACTGGTTGGGGAATTCTGGGAATTGAAGTCCATGCATCTTAAAATAGCAAAGTTTGGGAAACACTGCTATAGAGCACTGCACACCAGAACAACTAAATACAAGGACAGTTTTTTTCCTGAATGCCATCAGCCCCTCTCTATCTCCCAAACCGGAAGAGCAGCGTCTCCAGGAGTGCCAGACTACAACTCCCATCATCCCTCCAAGAGGGAAGCAAGGTAGGAGAGGGAGAGGCTTGTAGTTCAAACGCGCGCACGAGGCCTGCAAGCCTTTTTTGGGGCCGCCCGCATTCCGGGTCTGACCTTCCGGGGCATGGCATGTCTCCGTCCCACGGCAGCCCAAACCGGAGACCCTGAACGGCGACAGAAAGCCGGAAAAGCCCAACCCAACATCGAGGGGGTTTGCGTCACTTCCGCCTGCTCTTTCCGGTCGGCCCTGCTCCTAGAGATAGAAAATCTTAGAGGCGTGCGTCCCGAATGCTTTCAGCTGCGGGATGGCTTTTAGCAAAAGCTAGGGAGGGGAAGCGAGCGGTTGCTAAGAGCATCATTAAAGACCAAGCTGTGACCAAGTTTGGCCATTAAAAAAAAAAAGATTCCTAGGACTAGAGGAATTAATTAAATAAATTAAAATTAAGTCTTTTGAGCACTGAATGCAATGAAATTTCATTTTTTCATGTATCCCAATTAGTGTAGATTTGACGTGATAATAACGTTTTTACTCTATTCTATGATAATCTATCACTATTGTTGTATGTACACTGAGAGCTTATGCACTGGAGACAAATTCTTCTTGTGTCTAATCACACTTGGCCGATAAAAGAATTCTAAATCTATTCTAAAGCAGGTCCAGATTTTCAGTGTTTGGGCATCTTCATACCACACATCATCATCATCATCGTCGTCGTCGTAGTATGGGAGCAGCTCTGTAGCAGACAAAAAAGCTCTACAGAGAATCATTAAAACTGCCAGAATATCATTGGACTCCAGCTCCCAACCCTGGACGACATCTTCGAATCTCGCTGTTTGAGGAAGTTGCATAACATTCTCCGAGACTCTTCCCATCCTGCTTACAATCTTTTTGGACTGTTGCCTTCTGGCAGAAGATACAGAACAATTAAAACTTGGACCACACGTTTTCTGAATAGTTTTTATCCCAGAGCTATAATTGCACTCGACAATGAACAATGAAGGGCCACCACCAGTGAGCTGTTGGACAGCATTACTTGGTCTGTTGTGTGGATGTTTGGGTGGTTTAGGGGTGGGGAATTTGTGGTGGGTGGGGGTGTGTTTGGGGATTGTTGTGTGTGTTGGACCCGGTCTTTGGGTGTTAAATGAATTTTGTTGCATGGGTATACTGTGTATACACGTACAATGACAATAAAAGTTATTATTAATAGGGTCATTTGAAAATCTAGCAGAAAATTCACAGAGCTATTTCAGCAGTGCAAACTTAGAATTAGAGGGTGGAGGTGGGGATTGGTTTAGGATGGTATATTGGCAGTGCCCATTGCCACTTACTTAGTTCAATGTTTCTCAAACTTGAAATCCTTTTTAAAGATGCATAAACTTCAACTCCCAGAATTCCCCAGCCAGCCTGCCTGGGGAACTCTGGCAGTTGAAGTAGTGTTGGTATTCAGCCAGTTCTATCCAGTTCAGGCGAACTGGTAGCGGCGGCTTTGGGAGGCTCCACCCACCTGCCTGGACATCATCATGTCCCGTTTTTGATGCTCTGCGCATACACGGAATGCCCTGCATGTGCACACTCACATTTGCGAACCAGTAGCGAAGGTAAGTGAATACCACCCGAGTTGAAGTTCACACATCTTAAAAGTTATCAAGTATGACAAACACTGGATTAGTTGATGGCTCAATGTGTTGTACAAACTGAAAAAGGTTTTAGTCTCAAGTGTGTTGGAGGGTATCCTAGCCATTCACTCTCACATAGAGAGGGAGTCCTTGAATAATAGTTGACTGGTTCCACTGAAGATTTGCCCATTCCACTCTCCATAGTGTTTAAGTAACCTTCCGCAAGAATGTCCTTTGTGTTAAGACCACAATGCCCATCATTCCTACCCAATGGAAGATTTAATTCAATGCACGTTGTGTAAGGTACCATTGTTGCCTTACATGCTTTATTCGGGGAAGTCTGCAGCTGGAATTTCAATTCATCCCAAGGTATCCTGGGGCCTGTATATATTGATTATAACTTATTTTTATTGTTTCTTCAGTCATGTATTTTTGTGCTTCTGAATCTAGTTACATTTTGAATACTTATGACCTGCCACGTAAACAGATCTAGAATCAGAAACCAAAGTTATATTACTGCAGGCGGGATTAAGATCATTGTAATCATAGCCAAAAGCTTCTACAGGATGGTTAGAATCCAAACTGATAAAATTAGCATTAGGGATGAGGGTTCGCAATTGAATAATTTGACTCTAAGCATCATCTATTATAGCAAATGTGCTTTTCGGTTTTACCTCTTCAGATATTTTTCAGCATTTTCAAGTAACTTTACATGCCAGTTAGCAGAAAACCCTCAGCAAAATTAACTTTATCGGTAGAAACTGAGATTTAAGGGTTTAAGACTGCGTGAACTGGTAAGACGTTTTAAAGCAAAACCTGAGCCATAATTATCCCAATCAACGGGAAATAATCCTCTAGTACCCCAAAAGGTATTATTGAGATTTCCTTCTGAGTAAGAATGCATAATTGCATTATCATCCATCTCCTCCAACAAATTGCCATTTGAGAAAACTAGGGCTAGAGTACTCATTAATAGTTCTCTGAAATTTGCCCAATTTCCTTAAAAACTGCATATTTTATGGACTAAGAACTGCTCCCTTACAAACCGAAAATATTCAAGATCTCTGCAAGTATTCAAAAAGATGCTTCATTTCATCCACACTTCACTTTATAGTTAAAGAATAGCTTCATACAACTGACTTCTGGGTAACGGTTTTTTCCAATACACAACAAAACTAGTTAAGTTTATATACAGGTATTGAGTACTATTACGGATGAATTTGCATCATCCTTAACTCTAATTCATGGTTAGTTTTAAGAATGACAATTCAGTTTAACGTGTTGCACTGTACAGGAGCACAATCACAATATCCACAGATATGTAATCTGCCGCAAGGGTATTTCAGGGGGAAAAAGTGCTCTTTCCCGGCTTCCAGACTATGGTTAGCACATTTTCAATGACCATGTTAAGTATTTATGTATATTTTAGTTCAAGAAAGTTTGCATGTGTATCATCATTGTAGGTAGAGAATACTAGTGCTTGGTACCCTCCGTGTACGATACTTCAGTTTTATAACACATCTGAGATTATGTATTTACAAAAATTCACAGTATTTCATGTTTCCCTTCTGTTCATATTCAAAGCAAATTTTTCTTTTGCTCCATCTCCGTTTTCGGAAGTTACGTATAAAATATAATTTCCGGTATTTGTCCATCTTCTATTGATGTTCCGTTGTTGTTACCCGGTGAGCTAAAAAAGAAAAAGCAAGTTTTGCTTGAAGTTGGAGATTCGTGGATCACTTTCTTCAAACCCTTGGTGCCGTAATGAGAATCAGGGCCCTAAACAAAAAACAGAAATTCATTATTGTGGCACTCTTCACAGTTGGGATAAGTAAACTTGGAATGCACACTAGGCTATGAGAAATTCTAAGTGAAGCATGATGATTTTACAGGAGACATGCTACAGTAAACAGAACTTAAAAGCAGCATTTCCTGGATTATTATTATTATTATAAGTATATAGGTAGTTCTTGACTTACGACCACATTTGAGCCCAAATTTTCTGTTGCTAAGGGAGACTGTTGTTAAGTGAGCTTTGACCCATTTGATGACTTTTCTGGCCACAGTTGTTAAGTGAATCACTGCTGTTGTTAAGTTAGGAACATGGTTGTTAAGTGAATCTGGCTTCCCCCATTGTCAGAAGGTCGCAAAAGATTATCACATGACCCCGGGACACTGCAACCGTCATAAATATGAGTCAGTTGCCAAGCCTCTGGATTTTGATCACGTGACCGTGGGGATACCACAATGGTCATAGGTGTGAAAAAATGGTCAAATGACCCAAATGCCATTTCATTTGCGCCGTTGCAACTTTGAATGGTCACTAAATGGACTGTTGTAAGTCAAAGACTACCGTACCTGTATCTTCACATTATTTGTTCATTGCTTTATAGTTACTGTTTCCACAATTTCATAAAGTGCCTTACTTTCAAGGTTGCACAAGCAGTGTAACACACGGTTGGCAAAATCTCTATTGGTTCTTTGAACATAACTCTAAAGGTGCTGGCTGTTCCGTCGCAGCTAAATCCAGTGTCGTTTTGTCCTAGAGTCTGGTTTTTCTCATATTCAATTATCTGTAGGAAGAAAGCGATGGAAGATTTATTTTTTTTCTTGGAAGAACGTATTTTCTAAGCGAAGCACAGCCAGAAGATTACTATTGAAGCCTGTTTATCATATCCAGTTCCCGACCCAAATGTTAGCATGAGGCTCTAACAAACAAAACTTTCAGAAATCAACGTAGTAAAATTGGACCTTCAATTGGAATTTGTGAATAATGTCCTTGGTTACAAAGCAGGCACCCCTAATTCTTGAGAACCAATGGGCACATCTGAACTGCCTCTGGGGCTTTGTAGATTCGCAGTAACATTTTAGGACAGAGGTCTTCAAACTTGGCCACTTTAAGACTCGTGGACTTCAATTCCCAGAATTCTCCAGCCAGCTATGGAGAATTCTGGGAGCTATGCTGGCTGGGAGTTAAAGTCCACAAGTCTTAAAGCGGCCAAGTTTGAACATCTCTGTTCTAGGAAGTAAATATTATCAATTGAAGCTAATAATTTGTAACATATAAGTTTCACTTTTACCAATAACATTTAATAAAGGCAGGGAGCTAAGCAAGCATCAAGGAATGAATTGGTGGGGACATCTGCTCCTAACCAATATTGGAAGAATGATTATCAACTCTTGCTATGGCAACACCTTGGCTTAATCTCAAGTAATAGCACACTAGTTTTGTACTGTTGCCAAAAAAAGAAAAATGCAGATACACAGCTCATAAAGAAGGAATATTAACCTCCCACTCCTGCCTTTATGCCAGCTATTTACTATTTCTGGGCACAGCTCATAATGTTTACTAATCACATTAGAAATTCTCTAGCTATCTCCATCCCCAAACAGCAACCAAGGAGACACGATATACATGACAGAACACACTTCTCTTTATTATAATCAGTGTGACATGCTGTTTGATTGCTTTTAATGGCATCTGCTGATTCAATTCTTTGCATGTTATCTCATACATGGTGATTAAAACAATTCAAATGTGTATCATGTTATTTGCATCATCTTGGGTGACAAGGATGTTCTCAAATGAAGGTGAGGTGTGATTTAATTAAAATAGAATGGC